AGTTTTGTACAGCAGAAACAGAGAAACAAAAACAGAGTTAGAGAGTAAAAACGAGAAGAGATACAAACCGAGCTAGAATTACACCAGCCACTAAGAAGAGGAAGTGACATGGTGCACGTGTTGGCTGATAAGCTCAACAGTGTTAAAACCGGTTTCATAAAGTAATACTCCTCTGTTTCAATAATTAAACGTTTTAGTTTTTTCACACGTATTAAGAAAAAAACATAAAATTTTAATTACCAATACATCGTTTATTATATATAACAAATCCCTATATTTTTTTACCAATAGAATTTAAAAAAACACAATTAACTTTTTTGGTATCTATAATTTTTCATTAAATTATACATTGAAAATGTAAAAACTTCATTCTTTTGAAACAAATATTATTTCGAGAATGTTCATCTTTTTTAAATGGAGAGAGTACATTAATTACGTGAACCAGAAAGTGAATAAAGTTATAAAGACCAACTAGATGATTATCGCACTCATATGATAAAATTTATATACAAAAATTATTTCATTACTAATTTTGATTGTCAACCATCGTTTTTCCAAACGTAGAGTCATAAATCATTAATATAAGGTTGTTAAGTATTGGGTTATGTTAATATTTTTTAAAACCTGTTTAATTCATATTAGATTTTCATTATATCACATGGATGTTTCTATTTACATTATCACTTTAGTATAAAGAATCTCATTTCTGAAATGATATGATCAAATAACATTTGAGAACCGTGCTTATGTAAAATGAATGTTAATTATATACAAATTATTTATATATATTATTATTATTTTGTTCATTTATGTATAATGCAATAATAAATCTATATTATAATAGTAGACTTTCTAGGCTCCACAACGCGCCACGTCAGCAGTTTTGTGGGTCACGTAGGTATTTTTTAAACATCCATAGTTTTGGTAAGGTGATTACAAACAATAAAATACACTTAGCCAAGTGGTATAAGGTGTTTAGTTAAGCATGCATGATCGTGGGTTCAAACCATGTAGCTATCATGTATTTTTTTTTTATTTGGGTTATTATCATATGGGCTTTTTGTTTAATAAGGTTTTTATGTTTCTTTTTTTTGGCTTATTGTTTTAAAGATCAAAATAGTGAACTTAACAAGTTCAAAACCAAAAATAGTTAAAAATAGATCAAAAAATGAACAATAAAAAACAAAAAAAAACAAGTCTCACGCGGTTGTCTACGCGGATGGCTTAAAGAGCCTTAAAACTATCCTATTATAATATAGCTTAACCCAACAATAATAAAAAGTAAATCCAAACACGAACAGACCAAAAAACAAAAAAGTGAATCTCACGCGACTGGCTACGTGGATGGCTTAATGAGGCTTGAATATTATAAATTAAGAGCTCCAAAATTAAATCATGGCACATATTTCCTAATATATATTTTCAAAAAATTTGTATGTGAGATAAAATAAAAAACAACAAAAATTAATTATTTTCGTTATTTATTAAATGAATATGTAATTTCTCTTACATTTTAATAACTACTATAATTTCATTGAAAACATTCCTCACCACCGATTTCAGACTCCGGCGAATGGATTCCCATAGTCGATGACGCCGTAGATAAAAACGCCACATCATTTATGAACAAAACTCAAACTTACAAAAAACTATATATAAAAACCTATCTAATGAAACTTAAACAACGAATATTAACTTAATTAAGGTTATTTTCAAATTGATTAATCGTTTAATACAAACATAAATACTATAAATATATTTTGACCTACGATATAAAAACTATTTACAGTAAAAAACACCTACTTTTACACACTAAAAACTATATTATAGCCAAACTATTCCTATAAACCTTACTTCTCATATAAATAACATTTAACACATTCCTAATATATTTTCAAAAAATTTGTATGTGAAATAAAATAAAATAAACATAAAAATTTAAGTATTTTTCGTTATTTATTAAATGAATATGTAATTTCTCTTGCATTTTAATAACTATTATAATTTCATTGAAAACATTCTTCACCATCGATTCCAGACTTCGGCGAATGGATTCCCAGAGTCGATGACGCCGTGGATAAAAATGCCACATCATTTATGAACAAAACCCAAACTTACAAAAAAACCATATAGAAAAACCTATCTAATGAAACTTAAACAACGAATATTAACTTAATTAAGGTTATTTTCAAATTGCTAAATCGTTTAATACAAATATAAATACTATAAATATAGAATTATATCAAGTTTTGACATACGATATAAAAACTATTTACAGAAAAATAAAAATAAAAAATAGACACCTACTTTTACACACTAAAAACTATATTATAGCATAACTATTCATATAAACCTTACTTCGCATATAAATAACATTTAACACATTAGATATACAATATTTTCACTTTACACTCTTACTACATTCTTTCTATTACATTATTATTTGGTGGCATTAGAAGAATCCACTAAAACAACAATCGAAAAAAATACACGCAAACATAATGATCATGGCTCCGCGCTTGCGCGGAGAATATGCAACTAGTATATTAAATAATTGAGAATTAAGTAACTATTCCGTTTATAATTAAATTGAAGGAAGCACGTAAAACAAATAATATCTTTTTTATTTACAATAATTTGGTTGGTAAAAAAGAAAAAGAATCATTTATTTATTTTATACGGCATATAAATAAGAATATTTATTATTGAGATTTTGTACTAATATGATTTTATTAACATTATTATATTTGTTGGAACAAAAAAATTATTTTTATTAATATGGATATTTATTAATTGAGCTTCCTACTCAATGCAAATTTTGAAATTAACATTTTTTGTATTTTATATTTGAAATTTATTTTATTTAAACGGTATTGATATATATATTTAATATGATTATACATTGAATGAGACTTCATATTTATATGATTTTCTAATTTTTGTATTTATTATAACAAAAAGGTTAAACCCTTGATTACAAAATGTTCATTGTGGGATTTTAATAATATTTGTAATTTATAGTTATTTTAAAAATTCAAAATACAGCATATAAGAAAAAAAATCTGAATTTTGAATATATAGTTAATGTGATTATTTTTTTTTTTTAAGAATATAAAATTAAAAATATGATGGAGGATATAAAAATTGGTATCAAATATTTGGGTTATAAGTTGGATTGACCTATTTGACTCATTTTGACACCTTTAATTATATACGATAAATGAGATTGATTGTTTTAATTTTTTTACACTAAAATGTTTGAACAAGAGCGGTCTTTTAATTTATATGTACATGCCAATTTATTACATAATCATATTAATAATTTATTTCTTAGTTATTTAATATATAATAATATTTTATTTTCATAATATGCAGAGAAAGATAAAAAAAAAAATATTTATTCTGCACAAGACGTGGTTCTTAATTTAAGTATGTATCTTTTTGATCATTTTAAATCTTAAACATTTTCTAAATCTCATGCCAAAACAAAAAAAAAACGAAACAAAAATAAACTCAAAAATCGATATTTATATCGAGCAATAACCAAAACGAAAAAATGTGACACCAAAAAGACAAAAAATATTTAAGATAGATAGGATTGGCACGTGAACGTAAACTTATCATAACCATAATTAACTTTTAAACTGCTAAATAACGATATATAACCAAGATGACATAGTTTTATTGAAGCCAAATAATAGACCTGAGATTCTTTGGCCTAAACATTAGGTTCTTATGCGATAAGTGATTTTTTGACCTCGTATATTTTTAAAAATGGGCTCAACTCATTAGTCAACAAATTATATAATTAACAAAAAAATTTGTAAAAATTGTTTAAGGGCTAAAAATATTAATTCAATCAAGAATATAAGTTTTATTTTTCCATACGATATTTTTTAAATGATTATTCTTAGGGGTGGGCGTTCGGGTACCCATTCGGGTTCGGTTCGGATCTATTTGGGTTTCGAGTTTTCGGGTTCACAAATTTTAGCCCCATTCGGATATTTCTAAATTTTGGTTCGGGTTCGGTTCGGATCTTTGCAGGTTCAGTTTGAGTTCGGATAACCCATTTAAATTACATTTAAATTTTTAAAATTGATTATATACTTTAAATTTCTAAATATGTATAAACAAAATAATATATTACAAATAATTGAATAACATAAGTCAAAATACCTAAAATTAACATATAAATTAGTTTTATTTGAATATTTAGATTGTGAATCAATAAGCTTTTAAAGTATTTTTGATTTTTTTGGTGTACTTTAGCAATTTTAGACATGTATGTTTGACTATCTACATATATTTACAAGTATTTTAAACAAATTCAAAGTATTTTATATATATTGAATGTTTTTTATATCTATTAAATCTAAAAATAATTAATATATATAGGTATATAAATCTCTTTCGAATATATTCGAGTACCCGAAATACTTCGGGTCGGTTCGATTTCGGTTCTTTAAATACCAAAATTTTGAGAGCATTCGGATATTGAATCAATTTCGGTTCGGATTCGATACTATTTTTTCGGATCGGATTCGGTTCGGTTTTTCGGATCCGGATTTTTTGTCCAGCACTAATTTTTATATAAATTCACTGCGCAAGTTTTCTCCTAGTTATAACTAAGACGTGTGAAAAATCGCAATTTGATGTGTTATTGCCCAAGTTGGGTGTTATGGATCTCCACACTCCACCTTGAGAGGAAGTATTTGCAAATTATGTTCATTTCCTATTCTAAGATATATTTACAAAACTATTTAAGATATATACCAAATCTATTGAAGATATATTCCATTTCAAATCTATGTAAGATATCTTTCCAATTCTTGTCTAAATAATAAAGTGTAAGCTGCAACATTTGTCAATAAGAAAGTCATTCTCAGAATTCTGAACAATTCACTTCACAAAGGGTCTTTAATTTGACATTGTTGCAAGACCGACTTTCTTGATCTTGAAAATCTCTCCATCATATCATCTTTCTTCTTTCGACTTGAGCAATGATGACAACAATCATCCTTGACTTTCAGAAATGCTTCATTTTCGTTTTCTTGTGCTTCTTCTCACTACTCTGTTACACAATCTTCTTCAGGAAACCTAAGGACTTTCCTTTGCCTCCGAGTCCTCCTTCTCTACCCATCATCGGTCATCTTCACCTTCTTCTCTCTGTTCTAATCCACAGATCTTTACAGAAACTCTCCTCCAAGTATGGTTCTATTCTCTATCTCCGCATCTTCAGTTGCCCCATAGTCCTTGTCTCCTCAGCATCAGTTGCTCATGAGATCTTCAGGGCACACGACGTTAACTTCTCCTCTCGTGGATTCCCTCCGACCGAAGCTTCCCTTTTCGCAGGTTCTTTCAGCTTCATCTCTTCTCCAAATGGAGATTACTGGAAGTTCATGAAGAAGGTTCTTGTCACCAACCTTGTAGGAGCTCAGGCTCTCAAGCGGTCACAAAGAGTCCGTGATGATGAGCTAGGTCGTTTTTACGATAACTTGTTGGAGAAGGCAGAGAAGAAGGAGACCGTGGAGATTTTTGAGGAAGCGATGAAGTTCACTACCAACAACATCTGCAAGTTGATAATGGGGAGATGTTGTCCAGAAGAGGAAGGTGTGGTGGAGAGATTCAAGGGATTAGTTACTGAGTTAGAGGTTTTGTCGAAGACGATTATGTTGGAAAGCCTATTGCCCCCTTGGTTACAGGTTCTCTCGCTGTTTAAAAAGGAAGTGAAGGTTCTTTTAAACAGCTTCAATGAGCTGCTGGAAAAGATTCTTGAGGAACACGAAGAGAAGGATGGAGAGCATCATCATGGTAAGGACTTGATGGACGTGTTGTTGGCAGCTTATGGAGACGAAAATGCAGAGTATAAAATCACTAGGAATCATATCAAATCGTTTTGTGTGGTAAATATTATTTTCATGAGGTGGTTTCATTGAGAAATAAAACTGCTATGCTTAAGAAAATGTTTTTAAAAAAGAAATTAAGAAAATGTTTTGCAACTGCAGGATCTTTTATTTGCAGGCACTACCACCCCGGCGCTACCAATACAGTGGATATTGGCAGAGATCATCAATTGCCCCAAGACTCTTGAGAGACTGAGAGGGGAACTCGATTCCGTGGTGGGGACAACAAGGTTGATCCAAGAAACAGATTTACCAAATCTACCTTATTTGCAAGCAGTGGTCAAGGAAGGGCTAAGACTGCACCCGCCGGAGCCTATCTTCGAGAGATTTTCCCAAGAAGGGTGTAGGGTAGGAGGGTTCTATGTACCAGAGAAAACAACTCTAATTGTTAATGCTTATGCTGTGATGAGAGATCCAAATTACTGGGAAGATCCTGATGAGTTTAAGCCAGAAAGGTTTCTAGACACATGGAAAGATGAAGAGATAAAAGAGCAAGCACTTAAGTACATTTCTTTTGGAAGTGGAAGAAGAAGTTGTCCTGGAGAAAATCTATCTCATATCTTTATAGGAACTGCAATAGGAGTGATGGTGCAGGGATTTGAATGGAGATTCAAAGAAGAGAAAGTTAACATGGAAGAGACTATTGTAGGACTGTCCTTGACTATGGCTCATCCTCTTAAGCTCACTCCTATTGCTCGAACCCCAAACCCTCTAGTTCTGAATCTAAAGAGTCGGTTTATGACTTTTCAGAAACACTAAAAAGGAGAAGCATGTCGTGAACCTTATATCTTTCAATATTTCAAAGTAGAAAACATTGTGCAACTAATGAATTTAAATGCAAGAATACTCTTTCCAACAAAAATTAACATATTTTCTAGAGGGAATTACTTAGAATGACTTATATTTATCTTCAAATGACTAGAATGACTCATATTAAAATTTAAATACTAGACCCAATTCAGATATATGTAATTTGACACAACAACCCTTCTAATCAGCAAAAAAAAACATAATTTAAAAAGAAGAGGGAATTACTTAGAATGACTCATATTTATCTTCAAATGACTAGAATGACTCATATTAAAATTTAAATACTAGACCCAATTCAGATACATGTAATTTGACACAACAACCCTTCTAATCAGCAAAAAAAAAAAACATAATTTAAAAAGAATAACACAAAAGAATATGAAAATATAAACATAAAAAAGGGAAACTAAGAAGGCTTTTGCCAGGTCTCTCTCTTTCTTCCAAACATGCAATCGACGAAAGGAGAATCTCCAAGAGCCTCTCGCCGGCGATCTTGTCACTCTCCGGCGATCTTGTCACTCTCCGGCGACATCTCCTTTGTCTCAGCCCTCTCTCGTCGTCTCCTCTTGTTGTATCCGCTCGAAATCGCACAAGTCCCCTTCGTCTTCTTCATCTCCTCCGCCGAATATCCTCCATCACAACTCTTCTGTCACTGGTAAGTACTAATTAATCTAATTCCTTATCGTTTCTATGCGTTTTTGATTATTATTACCTGATTTGATGTTAGATTTCAAAAATCCTAAATCCCCAAATTTCAAAGGCTGTTCCAGAGCATTCAGAGGCACACTTACCTTAAAGGACCAATGGACAAGGTCACCTCTGTTGCCATTCCTCTTGCCTTGGCTGCGTTTTCCCTCTACATGATTGTAAGTTTTATATGTTCAAATCCTTAATTGTTTTTGATAATCTATATATATACTGTGTAGGAAAGAGAAGAGATGGGTTCTATGTTCAGTGGAAACCGATTAAACAAAGAAGAGATGGAGGTTGTAATGAACAAAGCCAAAGAGATCGTCTCTGAAGTCGTTGTCTTCAGGTCTTAACTCATTGAAAGTCTGTCTTTTCATCTGTGATTATGTATATGTTTGATAAATTGTGTAATCATGTCTCTAAGGTCTTGTTTGATCCAAAGGTTGAGTCTTTTCCATCTGGGTTTATAAGAAGAGAGACGATGTATGTGGATTTGCTTTATATGTCTAAATACTTGAATCACATCTCGTCTTACGGTTTGATCCATGTCTTGTTTTTGCAGCAAGACGTACTGTGGTTATTGCCAGAGGGTGAAACAGCTGTTGACACAGCTTGGAGCAACTTTTAAAGTGCTTGAGCTCGATGAGATGAGTAAGAAACCTACCAAAATTTATGTCACTGAACCTGGATTATATATTTATATTTGTCCCATGCTAATTTTACAAGTTCCACAGGTGATGGAGGTGGGATCCAATCAGCTTTATCTGAGTGGACAGGACAGAGCATTGTTCCTAATGTTTTCATCAAAGGCAAACATATCGGTGGCTGCGATAGTAAGAGAACTATACAAACTCTCTTCACATTATTGGAGACACAGATCGCTGGAAGAACTAACTAAAACATTTGTGTGGTTGATTGTGAATTTGCAGGGGTGATAGATAGTAACAAGCAAGACAAGCTTGTGCCTCTACTTACTGAAGCTGGTGCTATCGCCAATAACTCTTCTCAGCTTTGATGAGAACTCTGAAACTGGTGTCTAATAGAGACAGAAACAAAGGAAGTGAAGAAAGAGCGTTATGTTTATGTTTGTCAAGTAACCAAATAAAGAAAGACCCTTTGTTGTTGCTGTTAACTTTGGTTTTAAAAAGACATCATCAAAACTATGTTGTTCATGGTGTGGTTTGGTTAATAAAAGACTAATTTGAGTTAAGATTCTTTCTGTCTCTCTATTGTATAGCTATTGCCTCGGAAATTTACTTTTGTACCAGGATGGTTAACTCTGTACCAACATGTAATGTCAAGACTTGAAGCTCCATCTTCCTCCGGTTAAAGAGCAACATGTCAAGGAGACTTCTTTGGCGAAAAGTAGAACTCGACTAGATTCAATTATATTCCTTGAGCTGAGAAAAGAACCAGCAAGGAAAAAACTAATTTCAAATTAATTGAATTTCAGATTAATTGAACTAAACCGGAATTCAATTTGAATTTAACTAACCCGAGAATTAACTAAACAAATCTGTCACAACGTAAACTAACAAGTTGGTCGCGTCGTAATTCAACTAGCCTGCAGTATTTGTAAATCGGTGGTAGATTTACCTTAGTCTACCGTAATAAGAATCGATTTTTAATTCAAATCGGTCGTAATTCAACAAGTCTGCCATAAGAAAATAAGTCGAACGCAAAAATTTGTGGTTTCTTACAAAGCTGTTGTGTCATCCGACAGACATATTTAAAAAATCGGTTTTCTTTACAAATCGAGAAAAATATAGAAAAATCTATTGTGTCATCCGATAGACATATTTAAAAACTCTGTCGTGCGATAGATTTAAATAAATCTGCCGACGACCTACAAAAATTAAAAATTTCTTTTTGTATAACTATAGGCAAGAGCAATTTTGACCAGAAAAACATTCTAATAATTCTGAAAAAAAATATGAGTCATTATAGTAATAACACCATTAATTTGAGTCATTCTAGTTTTTCTCCCTATTTTCTATGATGAAAACTATTCTATTAAAAGAGAATAATATTTCGAAATAACATTTAGCTCATGTATGTTTATTACACAAAATGCCATTTTGTGTAATAGTATTTCTAAAGTCTTTATTAGTGGTGCTTTAGTCTTTTTGTCATATGTTATCTCTCTAATCTAATATTCAAAAGCTTTGGTTTAAAATAATTATAGGTTTGGGCTTGAAAAAAATCAACAATTGGTATCAAAGCCGAGATGATGAAAATCTGTAAGAATACCAAATTCCCTTTAAGTTCAAGGCAGTGCCACCTTCGATGGAAAGATGAGATATGTCGCAGAGACCAGTTAAAGATCCAAGAAGTTAGGAGGAGCGCTCTCAAATTAATGGTGCAGCAGGGTTAGGTAGATCCTAATGGTGTAACAAAGATTATGTAACGTCCCGACCGTCCACGGCTAATAGACACGCACGCCCATTCACTTGGCCCGTGAGCTCCATCCCGTTCCAACGGTCGGTCCGTTAATTATATGAGGCTCTAGAGTCATGTTTACTAATCATGTAATCACCACATGACCTTTTCCCGCGCTTTGGCCTCACTTACACGGTATCGCAAATCACTTTCCGATAGGTCACCCATCCTTTGACTACTCTAGCTTAAGCATGCTTAACTCTGGAGTTCTCTCTGGATGTGCTCCCGAAAAGGTAAGTGCACTTTGGTGACATAGGTAGCCAAATCAATTCTCTTAAGCCTTTCTACATATCACAACTCGGAATGTTACAATTCACCCCCTCTCAAAGAATGCAACGTCTTTGTTGCGCCCCACGACATGTCTCAAGACGCCTCTCAGGTCAGAACTGAGATAGCTAACCAGCTCTGATACCACTTGTAACGCCCCGACCGCCCATGGCTAATGGACCAACCACGCCCGCTCACTCGGCCCATGGGCCCCTTCCAGTTCCAATGGTCGGTCTGTAATTTTCCAAGACTCTAGAGTCATGTTTACTAACCCTGCAATCACCACATGACCTTTTCCGGTGCTTTGGCCTCACTTACACGGTATTGCAAATCACTTCCCAGTAGGTCACCCATTCTTTGACTATTCTAGCTCAAGCACGCTAACTCTGAAGTTCTCTCTGGATGTGATCCCGAAAAGGTAAGTGCACTTTGGTGACATAGGTAACCAAATCAATTTTATTAAACCTTTCTACAGATCACAACTCGGGATGCTACAAATTACGTGAAGAGTTATTTTGGTGATTTCAGCCGTATAAGATGTGTGCCAGGTTTCGCAGAATGTTGGAGACCAAGGGTTTGTATAATATTTAGCTTGAGAAAAGGATAAGATTACTGGGAATGCAATCAAAATACATTTAAAGTTTAGAAAAATAATGTTTAGTATATAAAAGAACTGGGTTGTAACCCGCACTTCGTGTGGGACCTGTGGGTTATTAGCCTTCATAAAATATTTTTGGTGACATTTAATTTTGAGAGAAATTTTATTATATGTGGTTCTTTATCATTTTTGAATTATAAGAAACTTAGAAAAAAAAAAAAAACATTTTTCCAATTTTTCTATTTTATTTTTATTCATTTTCTTTATTTCATTCATATTACCATTTGGCATTTAGTGATCACCAGTTAAGATATAAATATTCTATCATATAAAAAACATATATATTTGTAAGACCAAATACTCAAAATACTCACATAAGTAAGATGTAATTATTTTAATTTCTTGGAAGCTTAGTTTACTTTGATAGTCACTTAAAATTTACAAATATTAATCTTAATTTTATTCGTTATAATTTAGTGTTATTATTTCTTACAAAATTTATAATATAAAATCTTACAATTATTTAGAGTTATAGTATGTTTATCCTCAATTTAAATTTTATTTTTATATATTATTATTTTAATTGGAGATTATAAGAAACGAATCAAGTTTGTCTCACCCTTAAAATGGTTCATTCAAGTGTAAGTGTTTTACAGTTTTCGCAAAAAATTTTTTATTTGGAAGATATAATCATTAAAATAAAGTTTGTGGTAAATCATATGAAATATATATGCATTAAGAAGATATATATCCTTTTAGTATTAGTAATGGTCCCAGAAAACCTTACTCTTAGTTCTGCTCTCCAAGATTTGATTGCTTCCGGAGCTCGTTGCTCAAATTTATTTTCTTTGGCTACGTATTTTGCGAATCTTTATTTTGATAAATTAATTAAATAGATTGGAGAACTGAAAAAGAAGAGGGACAGACCATTACGTTACAAATTTAAGTGATCAATTCCTAAAAAAATAAAAGACAATAAAATAGTTATTTAGGAAATTGACACCCGGCATCATTTGTCCATCCTTCCAAATGATGTGGCACTTTCAATGAAGAGAATTTCCCCTTTATATATAGACTAGAAGAAGACCCGCGCCTAGCGTGGGATGAAGTTTTTATTTTTATTATGTTTTATAAAATGAAACAATAGTTCAGTTTCATTTGGATTAGGGGTATTCAAGCCGGATATCGGATTTCGGTTCGATTTTTTCAGTATTTCGGTTATTAAAATATAACTACTATTCTAAATCCATGTTTACTTCGGTTAGATCTGATTTATATACCATCGATTTTCAGTTTATTCAGTTTTATACCAAAAAAATAATTATTTATTTTGAGATCATATTATATATTATACAAATTTTAGAGTCTTATTGTCAAAAAGTAATTTATTAATAAAAATTATATATTTAAATAAAAGAATAAAAAAAGCTTAAATCATCTAATAAAATGATCAAATCTAGAATTAATATCAAAGCTCTAAATTTTGAAAATAAAATAAAAAACAAAACATTAGCATGAAAGAATTTTTTTTTATATTCTTCCATATTTAGTGTTCATCAAATTAATATATCTCTGTTGAACACAACTCTGTTTGTTTAAAGATAAAAAAAAAGTTGTAAAGAATTTCAACTAATTGTTGTCCATCAAATTTATAATCTTTACTTCAGTTTAGTTATTGTTAAAGTAAAGCAAAAAGATAAAAAGAAAAAAAAAAGACTAATTAAATAAGAAGACTCAGTTCCAGTAAATGGTTACTTAATTATAGTTCAAGTGATTAAAGTGATTTACAAATCCTTTATATATTAATCCTATAACATTACAACATATTTTGGTAGGTACGTATCATCACTACCTTGATTTTTAGAATTCTTTAAAAAAAAGTTGGTTTATTTTAATATATATTATACTTTTTATAAAACTAACTATGCAATTAATTGGTAGTGTATAAAAGAATATTCTCCATTATTTCCTTAAATAAAAGTTATGTTGCCTAATATGGTTAACATATATATGATAATTAATGATTATGAATAATAAAGATTTGATAACAATTTTCTATCCTCCATCCTTTTTTAATTTTACATTTTTAAAATAAATTAAACAATCATATTAATAATATATTAAAAATTAAGATTTTTTCTTATATAACTATATTTTGAATTTTTTATACGATTATAAATTACTAAAATTGTTAAAACTCAACATTGAAATTTTTGTGATCAATGATTTAACTTTTTGTTAAAAAAAATACAAATGATCATAAAATCATATAAATATTCAGAGAGTATGTATATATATATAATACATAAATATGTTAATTTCAAAATTTGCTTTGAGTAAGAAGCATTGGTTAATAAATATTCATATAAATAAAAATAGTATTTGTTACAGTAAATATAAAAATGCTTGTTAAATCATATGAGTAAGAACTCCAATTAATAAACATTTATTTTAAAATATATTATATAATTTTTATAATCATTTAATTTTAATTATATACCATATAAAATAAATAAATAATTATTTTGATTTTTTACAAACAAAATAATATTGTAAATACAAAGAGGGATGATTTTTATTTATATGTTTACTCCAGTTTAACTATATATGTAATAGTTACTCGCTTCTCAATTATTTAATATACTTATTATTGCATACGTGAATGAACATAAAATAAATAATAATATGTATAAATGATTTGCATACATAATTAGTGTTCATTCTTCGCAAGCGCGACTCTCAAAAATTATATATTATTTCAAAAATACAATTTTTCATATGAAAATGAGATTGTCAGTTTTAACATCCGGATAATAATATTGAAGTCCAATGTACTTAAATAGATTAAAAAATCAAAAATATCAACAAATATTACTCTACTCATCAACCTTTATTGATGGTCAAAGTTATGATATGATAGTTGAACTATGAAAATTAATATTCAATGATTATTACTATATAAATTTCACCCCGCGCATATGTGTGAGTTATCACCTAGTTATAGTTATAGTTCAACTCATGTAACAAATAGATATTCATGTGTCTTTATAAATATATACATATTTACATGTCCAGTTTAATCGGTTATAAATCAAACCATATCCAAATCCTACGGTTTTTATAAAATCAGATCCATTCAATTTGTATGGTGTATAGCAAAAAACCATATTATCGCTTGTTTAATATATTTTAATAATATAAAAGAACAAAAAAAAATTAAGATATTTAAATCATTGATAACAAAAAATTTCATTGTGAAAAAAATTAATAAGTTTCTAATTTATAAATGTTCTTGAAAATTCATAAAAAATTTTGAAATTAAATATTTATGTAATCTTATATGGTATATAATTTAATCTGTATATATATATATATATTTATTTTATTATTGAATGATAGTTTTTACTGATATGGTTTTAAAATCATGTGTATCTTTTTATAATAAAAATGTTAAATCATTGCTCATTAATTTTTAAGATAATAATTTTAATAGTTTAGTCATTTATTCTTGGTTTTTAAATTCAAAATATAACATATACGAAAAATTTTAAAGTTTAATTTAGAGCTAATTTGATTGTTTAATTTATTTTAATAATATAAAATTAAACAAAAATGTTGGATGAGATATAATTTTTTTATCATATATTTATCATTAGAATCATTAATTGTCATATATATATATATATATATATATATATTAGTTATTTATGGTAATTCCGTAGGTTTTATTTAAATAAAAAAATAAAATGGTAATTATATCTAGCAGAACAATCATAAATGCTTCTATCGTAAATATCATATCATAATTGACCAACGAATGTATCTAGCGACATATAAAAATCGAATGTGGACCTACTCATTTTTCAATTGAATGTAATTGATTACCTAATTGAGTGACATCTAAGCATAAGGTCTTTTTTAATTAATACAATACTGAGGTTACAATTTTTCAAATGTTTCTCTTTTAATATATAGAGGATGGAACATAATTTATTTTGAAATATATATATATATATATATATATATATATATATATATATTAGTTGAGACTTCTTACTTATCTAATTTTGTAATCATTTTTATTTTGTAACAACTTTAGTCATTTATAGTCGCTTTAAAAAATTCAAAGTATAGCTTATATGAAAAAAATATAAAATTTTATTATATAGTAAATGTAGTTGTTTAATTTATTTTAATAAGTTAAAATTTAAAAAATACACTAATTTTTTATCAGATCTTTATTATTGAAAATCATTAATTGTCATATATTCTTTAACCATATTTAGAAATTCTGTTATTTTTATTTAAGTAAACATTGAAAAACATTAATAAATCATTTATGATTAGTTTAATAAAAAGCTTATTATATATTTAGATGGACCAACATATTTTTCTAAGTATTCTAAAAATGAATGTGGTGATAACATGTGGCTACAAAAAAATGTTGTAATGCTTCTACTTTAATATATAGAGGATATTCAGTTTGAATTAGGACTAGACATTTTTGCAGGAAACCCAAATCTAAACCATTCGGGGTTTGTTTGTTGTGTTCATATCAGACGATATCGTACTAAATATTATTGACACTTAACCAAGATAGAGAGAAAAAGAAGATATATAACCATGTGACAACAATTTAAAATGCATTGCAATAAGATAGAAAAATTTCATTACTAATAATTTTCTTTTAACTTTGTTTTGTCTTTGATCTTCCACTGCCTTCATCTAGACAAATTCTTTCAAAATTGGAATAAAAAGGGAAACAAACATCTCTAGGCAAATAGTAAGGCAAGCATTCTTGAGTCGTCTTATACAATAACTTGTTGCTATTCGTGTTGTAGAGACCAAGGCGAGCAAAACCTGCCACTAATATGATGTCGTTACTCAGAAACCATAGAGGTTTTGCATATTTATCTTCTAAATCTGTAACTTGCACATCTTTTACATTAGCCCACGATTTTCCTGAACTGTTGTTTAAAACCCATAAATCATATCCTCCTCTCGAATTCAAATTGGAACAAAGTACAGCTAACTTTCCTTCATAGCTGACCAAGTCTTGAGAAGAACCATCGCCTATTACTTCTTCCGGCAATGGAAAGAAAGACCAAGTTTCGGTTTGCATACAAAACTGAATCACATTGTTTTCCCCGGTTAACCAATGCAAGCAGCCGTACAATGCTTCTGGTTTTTCGGATCTCCGGAAAAACTCGCCACTCGGTAGTTCCAAATCATTTAATTGCTTCCACGCATAAGTATCAGAATAAAAAACCTCACAGTTGAGATTATAGAAACCCTCACTCGTCTTCCTTCTCTCCCACGGTAGTGGTTCAGAAACCCTAACGATCTTATACCGAAACGGGTTAGACTGAATCACCATCAATCCAATTGCAATAGTAAAATACCGGGTTTTCGGGTTTGGTATAAACCGGTATTGTTTTGTAGCCGGTTTACAGACAATGTAATCTGGTATTCTTCTCCCTCCTTTAAATTTATCATCCACACATAACAAAATTCCATGACGTGCATCACACGCTTCGATCTTTGCATCTCTGGAAGGAAGAAACTCGAGAGAGATTCTGGGCTTTTCAGGAGCTTCTTCTTCGGCACCGAAGACAACAAATCCCGGGCGATGCTTTTTATGATCTTGAATGAAATAGCCTAAAACAGAGTTGGTTCTTTGGAGATGATGATTGATGAAGTAGAACTCATAAGATCGTTTGTTGCAAGCTTTGTTTAGTAGACGGAGTTTTGAAATCTCCGTTGCAGGACAACAAGACATGATATCAAGAATCAAGTCTTCGTCCATCGTGGGCACCACTGAGAAGAAAATTCTCAGAAATAAATTATTTTTGGAAACGATGAGAGCAGAGAAAAAGATTCGTGTCTGAGAAGTTGATGAAATTGTGGTTTATAAGGCTCCCTTTTAGATCTGAATGTGTGTATATATATAGAGAGAGAGGTTAAACTGGTTTGTTGCCAACCAAAAGATCATTAATTGTAAAGGACAAGGAGACTTGGGGTAAAAGGTTGGAGACTTGGGGTAAAAGGTTTCCTTTTCCTGATTGCGATTCCCCAAAAAAAGGAAGAACGAATAGCATTTCCATTTATGGTGTTTTAATTTTAACTAGTTTATTTCTTTTTAGTTTTTGAAAAAACGACAAGTCGGCCAGTCTTATAAATTTTCATAAGATTATAGATAGAGGTCAACAAAAAACGAACTTCAAAATTCTACATAAATATCTGAATGAGTTTTGTTCTACTGAAATCTGAACGGATATCTTAAAAAACCCCAAAAAATCAGAAATCCATAAAACTTCATACCAAACTCAAATCTCAAATATCAAAGATCAAAATAAATACATAATTAGCAGTTCAAAAAAAAAAATATACATAATTATAATTCAAATACGCAGCCTAATATATATTTTTGGTATTTAGTTAAATATCAAGATTTTTATATTTTAACAAGAAGTTTTGTTTTGAATAAGTATTTTTCTGAAACTTGAAAACAATGTTTTATTTTTCAGTTTAAATTATATTTTCTACATTTATAGAGTTAATCGTTGCTGACATTAATTAAACTTTTGTTTAAACTTTCCAAGTTTGTGAACTAAAACATATATTTTTGAAATACAAACATTTATATTAAAATAAATAAAAACTGAATTAGAATATAATCCGAATAAAACTGATTTAACTGGATTTGTGATGTGTTATGATATCCAAATCGAACCTAAAAAAAAAAAAAAATCTAAACCTCATCGAAAATGAATTTTAATAATTTGTATGAGGTTAAATTTTACATCTCCAGAAAAACAAATTTCGATCAACACGATTAGATACCCAAACATATGTGCTAAATCATAACTTCTAAATTTACGCATTGTAATCTAGTAGTAAAATCAACACTAAATAAATTGTTATATATTTTTTAATTATATATAAACTCATATATTATTTGCATGTAAGACATCTCATCATGTATATTAAATAAAAATTTATTATTATAATTAAGAGTATCTAATATTTGTTATGAAATTTTTATATTTTTCATTAATAAATGGTAAAAAATGGTCTCATAGAATAACAAACTCCAAAACAAGATTGCAATTGGTAAGAAGTCAAACAATATAATCTTTGTAGAAAACACTTTTTAATAAAGTGTTTTTTACCAAACACTAAAATTAAAAGTATTCTAAAAACTCGAAATACTACATGCCTTGAATGTTAAAAGAAACAAGAAAATAGAATAACGTACTCTACCAAAGCTGATCAAATTATGTTTTGCACATAAAAAGAAAAATCATTACAACATTAGCTACCAAAAACCATTTAAGATCTTGATTTTTGTACAGTGAAGCTGTACTATGTTTAGAAAAACCATTACAACATCACAACATTAGTATGCCATTGAACTCAAAAACCATTTAAGTTCTTGACTTTTACACCAAACTCAAAAAAAGGAAACTTACAAAAGCTACCAAAAACATGAAGAAACCAATACTCTTGAAGACAAAATCCCACGAGAACTTCTAAATTAACTGACAAAAAAGGTATTTAAAGATGGCGACCTCGTTTTTTGCTCTTTTTGTGTGTTTCTCAAGTCTGAATCTATGAAATGCTGACTAGCAATAGTCTTTCATTAAACTTCACCAGCTTCTGATTTTGATGAAAAAGCTAATTAAGTAAGCTCCGAGTCAGAAGCATGACCAGTTTGGTGTCTACGTCTCCTTGGACTTAGTGGACTTATTGGACTCAAAGGCAATCGATTATCCTTCCTCGCTTTTATGCTTCTTCCAAACGAACTCAAGGGTAATGCTTTTGGCGATGATCTTGCTTTTACCGGCGAAGTTCCTGTTGATCTCAACTTTGTTGACGACCCTGCATTGATGAGTTTTAGCAGAAATGTAGTGTGTTATCTATCAACTTAAATACAGAGTTGAAAAACAGAGAGGAGGAAAAAACTAACCTAAGCTTGGACTTTTTCTTAGCTTTACCAATTCTTCACTCTTCTTTGAAGCTGAGACCTTCTTGATGGGAGCTTCTGAGTAGACTGATCTTGTATCTGAGTATTCAGATATTGTATCTAAACACAAAGACTTTGTATCTCTTACCATCACCCCATTAGGCGGATCTTCAACCACTGAAACGCTTTCTGATTCACTTGCCTCTGAACTACTGCTTTCTTTAATAATTTTTGGATTCATCTTCTCTCTTTCCAAAACTCGGTATGAGTATAACTGGAAAGGGATCTGAGTCACCGACGCCATGTAAGACCCTAACTCACCTGGAAACTTTCTCAAGTACCTTGCCTCTAAATCCCAACAATCAACTAATGGAGTTTGCATTTGAGGGTGACCATGGTCTGGATTAACAACTAGAAACTTCTTGATGTAACGTAGTATCCGGCAGATGGAAGAAAAGTTCGGACGCTGGCTCGGTTCTGAGTGCCAACACCGTTTGATCAGACTAACTAGGTATTTGGGTGAAGGGAAAGGGAAAAGAGGTCTCTCTCCCATCCTAATGTTGATTGCCATTTGCTCACCTTGAAGATGACTATCTTCAAATGGCACTTTACCTGTTATTAGCTCAAAACAAATCATTGCAAAGCTATAAACATCAGCTTTATGCGTCAGCTTCGATTTCAAAGTTTTCGCGCCTTTAAGATCTTTTTCCATCTCTGCTAGAACTTCAGGTGCATACCATATCACAGGATCATTACTGCTTGCTCTTGAAGAAGACGAAGAAGACTGGGATTTGAGAGAAGATAAACCGAAACCGGAGATTTTCACGTGGAAATAGCCTTCGGTGTGACATCTCTCTTTCAATAAAATGTTCATTGGGTTTAAATCTCCATGGAAGATATCATTCCCATGGAGATACTCCATTCCTCTCGCAATCTGCAGCATTATATCAATCACAACGGAAACAGAAAAGAGATATCGTCTTCTCGGTCCACAATTCTCCTTCATGTAGCTCTTCAAATCTTTGTGCATTAACTCCATAACCAAAAAACATTCTTTCCTTTCTTCATCATAGAATCCACACAAGTACTGAAGTATATTCGGATGACAAAGAGCTAAAAGAGATGAAATCTCAGAACTCAACGGCTCAATATCGCTGAAGAAGTGTCTCAATGCAAAACTATCACCTAACCATTGAATCTCCTTGTACTGTCCATCAACACCTAACCTCTTTTTCACCTGGTAATCCTTTGAGCCGAGAAGTATCGAACTCGGAAACAGTTTACCGTTAAACTGCTCCAAACCGGTTAACTTTTTCAAAAGCAGATCAGCTAAGCTCTTCTCTGTCTTTCCTATGTCTGATTTCCTCTTCTCTTGTAATGCCTCCACTAACTTCCACCTGTCTTCTCTCCAAGAATTCTCAAACCGGCTGCAAACATCCTTTGGAATTAGATACTGTTTCCCAAACCTCCATTGAAAGAGCTTAGGATCATTCCACTCTTTATCGTACTTTCTTGAGATCACAACTCTCCTTCTATCCATCTCGGAAGGGTCAAGCCCCGAGATCTCTCCAGCAGCTTCAATGGCTTCGATGACGGCGGGGAAATAACAGAATAGGTTGTGTATGTGAAACTCAACACAATCTTTGTTCTGATGAAGGTTGATGACTTTGCCCCACCAGTCACTGTTGTCCATACAATGCTTGACGTATAATTCTCCTTCTTTAAACACTCTGTAAATCTCTCTTAAGGGCTGTTCGATGGCTTTCCATTTAGTGTGTTTCTCTTCGAGTTTTAGATTCTGTCTGATCTCTTCTGCGACGGTGGTGAAAGCTAAGCTGAAGATTTCTAACAGCAAACAACATTGTCTTTGGTTGATCAAGATATCGTCTTGTAGTACCATTAGTGCATTTAGACTTCCAAGAACTTCTCCTATTTGTCTAAACTGCTCCATTAGACAAATGTTTGTTGTGATAAAATCCTCAAATCTTCTTTTTAATCTCAAAACCCCAACAAAAAATAATCCAGTAGGCTTGAGATTTTTGAACGCTGTAGAAAAACTATCAGAAAAAATGTTATCACAAAAAATGTTATCCCAACATTACACATTTATACAGCAGATAAGAACAAAATGAGACCAAGGAACATTCAGATATCCAGATAACAAGTACAAGGGCTTTGAGACTAAACCTGAAACTTTAATGTTCAAAGGATCGATTAATCAAGCACACATAATCACATCATACAGGAAACAAATCATCAGAACAATCTTCGACCTGATCATCCAAAAACAATCTCAAAAAGGAGAACCAACAGTTAATAAAATTTTGATAAAATTTTAGTCACCTTATTCTCCCCCCAATTTTTCTTCTATGAAAATCGCTGATTGTTTTCTTTCTGCAGCGGTTTCCGAGGAAATTGAAGAAAAGAAATTGCAGGATATTTAGGAAATGTTCTTATTGTTTGGCAGGTTTGTAATTTTGATCGTTGAAAAGATGTTAGCGTGTTCTCGGAGTCCAAGATATGATGCATTACCGCGAGTTATACAATATAGTTTTATGTTGTGGACTTCACGTTTTGTAAATAGCCACCACGTCCGGGAAATTACTAAGAACTGATTAGTATATGTGAACATTGATTAGCATGTCACCTAATTGGATTATTTGAGTATGATTAATGTGAGTTTCTTAGGATATAGGATATGTCTTTTAGCTTTTAACTAAAAAATTTAAGAAATGTCTTTTGAATAAAGATATTTCTTATTTTTCTTAATTGTTTTAGTTAAAAATTAGAGACCTATCAATACTATTAAAACAGAAACCCTTTTATGAAATTGCCCTTATTCTTCCATGGTATATTACTTTTTGTGCCATCAGATTACTTTAAAAACTAAAACTTTAGGAGGATAGTTTAGGAAATGAAAAAAAGACTACCAGAATAACCTAAAATCTCTCTACATATAATTATATTGTACCTTTTAATTTTTCCAATTAATTCTATACTAATCCTTTAAAAAATGTGGGCTTAATTCTTTTATATTTACTTCCTTATAATTATGTCAACCTTATTTCAAAAGACATAAGGTTAATGTCAACCTTATCTAAACGAGATAAAAAATATAAACGTCATCAGTCATATTAACTATACAAACACATATTTTAAAATGTTTTTGTCTTTCTTATTAAAATTAAATTTTAATAATAATTGAAAACACATTAATTATATTAATTTTGAGAATCAGATTTTTAGTTGACATGGATCACCGGTTTTATTGAATTTTTGCCAATTTTACCGAATTTTCTCAAATCTAAATTTTAAACCTAATCAGATTTAACCTCCTTAACGGGTTACGGTTGGACCATTTCGACCGGCCGGTCCGATTCGGTTTTACAAACAGTTTGTGGTCGGAGAATGATAAAACTTGGACTTCGAATTGTTGCAGTACATATTTCTATGGGTTTTCAAATTGCTATTATTTTATAAAATAGATTTTGATTAAGATTTGTATACAAATACAATCATAAAGAAAATCAAAATATGATTACAAAAAAAAATACAAATATAAAAAAGTAATTTTTTCAAAAAAAAGTTAAAGAAAAATATATCCGCCCTTTAAAAGGGCGGGTCAGAATCTAGTCAATACTATTAAAACAGAAACCCTTTTATGAAATTGCCATTATTCTTCCATGGTATATTACTTTTTGTGCCATCAGATTTACTTTAAAAACTAAAACTCTAGGAGGATAGTTTAAGAAATGAAAAAAGGACTACCAGAATAACCTAAAATCTCTACATATAATTATATTGTACCTTTTAATTTTGCCAATTAATTCTATACTAATCCTTTAAACAAATGTGAGCGTAATTCTTTTATGTTTACTTCCTTATAATTATGTCAACCTTATTTCAAAAGAGATAAAAAATATAGACGTCATCAGTCATATTAACTATACAAACACATATTTTTAAATGTTTTTGTCTTTCTTATTAAAATTAAATTTTAATAATAATTGAAAACACATTAATTATATTAATTTTGAGAACAGATTTTTAGTTGACATGGGTCACCGGTTTTATTGGATTTTTGCCAATTTTACCGAATTTTCTCAAATTTTACCTAATCAGATTTAACCTCCTTAATGGATTACGGTTGGACCATTTCGACCGGCCGATCCGATTCGGTTTTACAAACAGTTTGTGGTCAGAGAATGATAAAACTTGGACTTCGATTTACTCTCTACAAATCAAATAATTTGTTGCAGTATATATTTCTATGGGTTTTCAAATTGCTATTATTTTATAAAATAGATTTTGATTAAGATTTGTATACAAATACAATCATCAAGAAAATCAAAATATGATTACAAAAAAATACAAATATAAAAAAGTAATTTTAAAAAAAAAAAAATTAAATAAAAATATACCCGCCCTTTAAAGGGCGGGTCAGAATCTAGTCTTATATTAAGCTAAGAACTAATCTTAAGAGATCCGATTAAAGTCCTAATCTTGCTCTTATGTTTTTTCTTCTTGAACTCGTCGACGTCTATGAGGAAGTATTGTGTCCACTACTATACAAAATACAAAGACTTTAAAAGAAAAGTCAACTAACCAGCATTTGATATCTCTCTCAGGTTTCTCTTCTCCCTTACGCCTTTCCCATCAATTAGTCTTCGCCGGAAATCTTTGCAAGTATCAAATACTCATGGCGTCTTCTGCTGTGACTTACTCAAAGAGATACCATGTCTTCCCTAGCTTCCATGGCCCAGATGTTCGTTTAACGTTTCTCAGTCATTTACACAGAGAATTTGTGAGCAGAGGGATTGTCGCATTTAAAGATCAGAGGATCGAAAGAGGCCACACGATCGGACCTGATCTCGTACAAGCGATTAGAGAATCGAGGATCTCCATCGTTGTTCTCTCCAACAACTATGCTTCATCGGGCTGGTGCTTAGATGAGCTCGTGGAGATCTTGAAGTGTAAAGACGATCAAGATCAAGTTGTGATGACCGTTTTTTACGACGTTGACCCGTCTGATGTTCGAAAACAGAGCGGCAGTTTCGGAAGAGCTTTCGAGACAACTTGTCGAGAAAAAACAGAGGAAGTGAAGCAGAGGTGGGCCAAGGCTTTCAATGACGTGGCAGAAATAGCTGGACAACACTATCTTAACTGGTTTATCTTTTTTTTTTTTTCAGTGAATTAGGATGCTTTGATCTTTCTGAGCAAACATGAAAATATATGTAGGATGAAAACCCGCCAACGAGAATTTTGTTTCTTTGATTTATTAGGGACTATGAAGGGGAGATGGTCGAAAATATTGCCGCAGATGTTTCCAAGAAACTGAATCTCACACTCTCAAGAGATTTTGAGGGGATGATTGGAATGGAAGCTCACTTGAGAAATTTATACTCTTTGTTATGCCTAGAGTGCGATGAAGTGAAGATGATTGGAGTTTGGGGTCCTGCCGGAATTGGTAAGACTACCATTGCTAGAGCTTTATTCAACAATCTCTCTAGTGCTTTTAGACTTACTTGTTTTATGGGTAACCTCAAGGGAAGTTATAATAAGAGCATAATGGGTGTTGATGACTTGATTCCAACTTGTGTTTACAAAGCCAATTTCTGTCCAAAATTTTGAACCAAAAAAATATGAAGATACAACATTTAGGTGCAGCAAAAGACTGGCTACAAGATCAAAGAGTGCTTGTAGTTCTTGATGATGTAGATGATCTAGAGCAATTAGAGACCTTGGCTAACGAGCCTTCTTGGTTTGGTTTTGGAAGTCGGATTATTGTTACTACAGAAGATAAGAAGATTTTGAAGGCACATGGTATTGATGTTATCTACAATGTCGATTTTCCATCCGAAAAAGAAGCTCTTGAAATCTTTTGCCTATCTGCTTTCAAACAAAGTTCTCCACAAGATGGTTTCGAAGAGCTTGCAAGAAAAGTAGCAAAGCTTTGCGGTAATCTTCCTTAGGTCTTCGTGTTGTAGGTTCATCTTTGTGTGGTGAGACCAAATCCGAGTGGGAGCTTCAGTTATCTGGGTTTGAAACTAGTCTTGATGAGAAAATTGAGGATGTACTAAGAGTGGGATATGACAAATTGTCCAAGAAGCAGCAAGCGATCTTTCTCCACATAGCATGCTTCTTCAACAATGAGGATCTTGACCGTGTGATAACTCTGCTCGCTGACAGTAACTTGGATGTCAGAAATGGACTGAAGATCTTAGCCGATAAATCTCTGGTGCATATATCTACTGATGGGAAGATAATGATGCATTATCAATTACAACAAATGGGTAGACAGGAAGTTGTAAAACAGTCTAACGAGCCGGAAACGTCATTTTCTTGTAGAAGCTCAAGATATTCTCAATGTACTAGCAAATGGAACAGTAAGTTCTTACATATAATATTCCTCGATACATGTTGCTTATTTTGATAACATATTCATTAATCTATTTTTTTGATACATGTCAGGGTACTGAATCTGTCATGGGTATATCTTTTGATACGTCCAAGATTCGTGAGTTGTTTATACATCGTAGAGCCTTTGAAAGGATGCATAATCTCCAATTTTTAAGAGTTTGCTTGAGTCATTCCAATGAAAATGTAAGCTTGTGCACAATAGAAGGCATGGATTATCTACCTCGTCTAGAAGACATGGAGTTTCTACCTCGTTTAAGGTTATTACATTGGAATTCATACCCAGGAAAAAGTCTTCCTCCAACACTTCGGCCTGAATTTCTCATTGAGCTCAACATGCCATCAAGCAAATTCGAGAAGCTATGGGCAGGAATCCAGGTTGGTATTGATATATATTCTTAAAATATGTTTATATGATGATTCAACCTTGTGTATGACCTAATATTTCTCATTTGTTGTGGTATCTTGACATGCAGCCTCTTGTAAACCTAAAGAAGGTAAAACTGAAATTTTGTTCCAACTTGAAAGAGATAC